AGGATAAAAAACAATTTTCATTTCAGAGCTATAATACTTATAAAACATTATTATCAGTTTGAATAGAGATGAGTGCTTTTTACCTTCACAAGCTTCTGGTGAGTACATTATTAAATCCAACAGAGTAAACGGAGTCAGGATAAACACAATGCAATTATAAGGCATACTACTGCACCACTGACAACGCTAACCTCTAAAATCATCAGCCCTGCTTTTTAGATCTTTATACTATGCTAAACATAGCATTATTCTACAGAGAAAGAAAGGCTATCATAATGGCACTACCATTAATCGTTCCATATCTTCTTTTACTATTTTTCGAATCAGAGGTTACATTATATTACTCAAGTACAGTCTGTCAAACAGGACACTGCAATATTGTAACATACTGAGAATGTATTAAACATTTCTGCAACTTACAGTCAGTAAACAATCTTCCCTCACCCAAAACACTAAAATTCCCTAAGCTATCAAGACTATTCACCAATGATAAAGACTACAAGTAAGGAAATTGGATTTCGGGGTTTGAGTTAGAATTCAGATTATGGAAAATAACCTGCCAGATTCTAAATGAAACACTAGGTAAAAGGGTACTACTATTATCTCTCTTGTATGTAAGTTATAGGAGGTTTTGTGGGCTGATTTGGAAATATAGCTATTATATAACATTGATTTGAAAGGAAAATGAAACAAACTTCCAAGAAACATCTCACCACCTTTGATGTGTAATCTACTCATAAACTGGTATATGACTGTAATAAAAATCTCTTCACAAGAAGCATAACTATTACAACAAAGACATATATATTTCCAATTGTACACAGTTTGAAAGTAAAATTAATGTTGAAAGATTATTTTTTCTATTAGGAAGTATTTTCAAAACCCAAAGTTTTCTAAATTTCAAAGAAAGTGGTACACTTTTCACATAACAGCTCTAAAATTCAAGGTACGTGAATTTAAGTCTTCTTTATTCAAATTTTTCTGTCTTATAATAAAATGAAACTTAACCTTTGAAATTTTAGATTTTAAGTATTTCCAGAATAACTATGCCAAATTCATGTAAAATTTCATTCAGCAATACTTAAGGGAAATCAATTGCTACACTTAAACTAAAAAAAAAAAGTTTGTGTTATATTTATTTCCCACTTACGTCAAATTAAATTTAAAATTAAACTGCCAAGTTGAAGTTCCTGGAGGATATTCTCCTTGCTCATTCATAAATGTCAGTCCTAGCTGAATTATCTTTAACAAGTCTACATTACACCGCAATAGTTGGTACTGATAGTCAGCATTGCTCCTGAATTCTCCAATAGGTCTCGCAACCACACCTGGAAACTCGGTGTCCTGTAAAATAGTTTTAAAATTCATTATTTACTAAAAACCAAAGGCCTCCAATTCCTAGAATTAACAATTTTTAGCACAAGTCAAAGAACCCAGTTATAGATGATACTCTACAAACTGACATTGCATTACAAAGTACCTTTTAACTAGGAAGAGTATTACCTTTTGTAACCATAAAATAAAACTCTATGAACTTGAGTTTTTCTTACTTTAAATATCACATCAGTAAAAATTACTATGTATAAGATACACATGACAAATGCAACCAAGTACTCTATTCCCAAGAGAGAGGAAAAAAAAAATCATAAATTCATGTTTCTCAAGGAGTATGTGAAACTATACTATTGTAATGTTAAAAGCAATGAAGAACTGGTTAAAAAGAATAGAAAGGGCATCGTACTTTCCAATTACTTTCTCAGACAAGGTTTATCTAAACACTGAATCCTTCCTAATTTCTTGAGCTAAAATAGTCCAGAGAAAACATGCCACCCACTCATTCCTATAGAATGCTATCACATCTTTAATGTTGTCACGTAGTATCATCTGAGAAATAAGTGATCACTATCAATTTCTTTTGGATAAAAAAATTCAATTCTAACTACGAGAAGTACACTTTAATAAATAGTATGTTACCTATGTACATTCAAATATTTATATTTTAAGCAATCAACTTGCTCTTCCACACAGAAACATATTTGTTAAAAATACTGAGAAAATGATATATAAAATTCAAATTAGAAAGCTAAGAACAAAATCTAAATACCAAGTCACTATAAATAGTAAAGAAATTAAAACTTCTCTAAATTCAGTCAAACTCAACAACCACTTTATTTGGATGCTACGTATTTTGCTAGGTGTTAGAAGGACTAAAGACACTAACCCCTTGCTTTACAAATTATCTAGAAAACAGTATAGCAGCTGTAACAGATATGCATGATACAGTAGTAAAAAAGCAAAATAATTAACTGAGAAGACAGTCTAGGCAGATTGAACAGTATATGCAAAAGCGGTGTGTTCATGATATTCCACTGATTAAAAATAAATAAATAAATAAATAAATGATCAAACAACGAAAACTTGCAGATCAACATATCTCTGGGAGAGCTGATTTTTTTGTTTGTTTGAGAAAGACATCCAGGAGTTCCCAGCTTAGAGGAGCTCATCTGATATTATCAGTTAGGCCTTAGTGATGCTAGGTGCTGATCTGGTACTGGTAACTAGGTCCTAATGTTCTTCTGTTAAATATAAACAATTTCACACTTCAATATCAGACAAGGCAACTCCGGAATCATGACTGAACACAGACAAAAACATAAACATTGTTCAAACCATGAAACTTCCTTCCATCTTGGTTAATATGAGTAACCTGCTTTATAGCCTTAGCCTCACTCTAGTTTTCTCTCATTCTAGTTAATATTAAGATACCCTATCACAGAATCACCCCAGCTTCCTGACAGCATCCAATCCAAAGCCAAGTCCTGCTTCCTTAAGCCCTCCCTAAAACGCAAGCCCCAATCCTAAAAGTCCTTTTTAAAGCTCTCTTAAATGCCCCTTTTCCTCCAATGGCATGCGTTTTCCCTCACTCCAGTGAGTAATAAACCCAACTAGTCACATTACAGGTGTGTTCCAGGTGGTCTTTGATTGAAGGACATTGACAGAATTTTCTTTTCATAATTAAATAAATCCCTAAAAAAAAAATCAACCACAAGGACTGAATTCAAGATTTTTAAAATCCTTCTTCCCCTTCTATAAGAAATATTTTAAGGATATCTGATCATAGGCATACCATAGCGACGTAATTATATTTTCGGATAACTTGACGAATTTTCTTCATCTCTTCATCCAGGTTGCAAGCCCAAACTTCACAAATTCTTTGGCTATGATCTACAGTTGCTGCTGGCATAGTGAGGGCACAAGGAGTCTAGCTGCCAAGCATCAAAATATTATATTTGATTGAAGATTTGTTTCATAAAATATTTTATCCTTTATTTATGTACCTGTCACAAATAAAAACCAAAATAAAAACCAGCTATATCAGAAACCGGAATCAGAGGTAACTGAGTTGACAGAAATCTAAGAGATTACTTATTCAAAGTCCTTGATTCATAAGAAAATCAAAATTTTGGAAATGACTTGTCTAAAGTCAGTTAATCAGTAGGAAAAAAATGACAACAACACAGGTTTCTTGGTTCTAATATCAATGTCATGTAAAATAGTGTTTATTATGTGTACATACTAATCATTTAAAACTTTCCACTAATTAAAGACTGCTCTGGATTCAACTCAATGAATAAAACTTTATAAACACATCAATTTCCAGACAAAAATGAGAAGTAAAATACTAACACACGTGTGAAAAGATCAGATGTTACTACAACGGAATTAGTGTTTGCTTTTATTCCTCATTAACAGAACAGTCAAAATGTGATTTGATTACAAAATCTCCTTCACTGGCATTTATTCAAACCAGACTGGAGGGCACAAAACCAACTTAAAAAAAAAAAAAAAAAAGCTATTTCTGAGAAATAATTAACAGATAGCCACAGAGATTGTTTGAATGTCCATAACTGCAGGTGGGAGAAAAAAAGAAGGAAACAATGTGTATTTCAAACTGTTTCTAATTTCCTAAAAATGAGCATTTTCCCTGCTTACCAAACATACATCTCATGTTTCTGGGTAATAACAGTATACACCAAAATTCTGATTTTTGAGCAGGAAAATTCTTCATTTTCCACGCGTTTGAAAAAAATCACAACAAAGGTAAAAGAGGGAATTATGACCCCTCCCCCAAAATGCAGTCAAATGTAACCAAGTGCTCTAAGATCTAGGGACCCCTTTTTTATAACCCTCCCCACTACGCTAAACACAGACACACAGACACTTGGGAAAGACCCTATAGTTTAACACTGCTTTCCTCTATCTCTTCCCCGACGACAGTTCCAGAACTCCCAAAGAGGCACCAGAAACCCTCTCATTTACTGGAGGTAGCGTCTCCGTACTACAGGCTTCCCCCCAAAACGAGAAAACAGTACAGAAGCATTCAAGTCATAGATAACGC